TTCTATTTTAGATATGAGAATATATATATATATACACACACACACATATTTATAAATGTCATACATACATATATGTGTGTGTGTGTGAGTGTGTGTACACACACACATATTTATATCCTCATATATACAGGTATAAATTATGACATTTTTAATGTGAACTAAGAATCAGGGAATAAATCTGATCTAACTTTCCTATGTATACATATATGCATGCCACAGTGAATCTCATCATCATGTATATTCACAAAACACTGACTAAAAAATAAAAAATAAAATTTTAAAAAATACAAAATAACTAAAAACTAGAAGAAAAAAATAAAAAGAAATACCAGAAAAATGAAAGGGAACAGGGTAGGAAAATAGGGGAGGGAAATTATATTTCATGCCTTTATAAGTATGTCAAAATAAATGCCAATGTTATGTATAACTAAATAGAACCCAAAAGGCAGACTGTGCCAATCTGCACATACTCAGTACATGTGGTCAGAGGTGGAGCTCCACATCAATGTTCATTTTGTAACATTTTACTGAAGGATTCAATACCTTCATGTGTTATCATTTTACCCCATGTTCACTCATTCAGTATGAATTTCTAATTTTCAAGGTATGTTCTTTGAGATTTTTGGCAAGATGGCATCTTTCTTCACTATATTAAACTCAGTAAATATGATAACAAGTTAATCTTACATAAAATGTGCAGAGATATCATTGAGATGATTTTTAAAAGTCAATCTTCCCATGTATCACAGAAAGAAAAGAGTGTCAACTCCAAAGTCTGATATGATGTCAAATAGTCAGAATTTTCTCTTTAGAAAAGCAAAGAATAAACCTTATGTGTACTATACCTCCTGGTCTAGCTACAGTTTCATTCTCTTCTAGTCATTTGTACAATGTGAAAAAGAGTGGGCATTCCATTAAAAGTTTTGGGCAATCAAGTAGTGTAGACACTACTTGTGGATAGAAAGAGAAAAGAGAGGGAGGGAGAAAGAGGGAGAGGGATAGAGAAAAAGAGGGAGAGAGAGAGAGAGAGAGAGAGAGAGAGAGAGAGAGAGAGAGAGAGAGAGACTAGTAATATTCTCTTCCCAAAATATATATGAAAAGTTTTCAAAATAAGGGAACTTGAACACTCATTCTGGTACATGACCTTTACTTTCCCCATCCTCCTCCTCAGCAACATGAAACCAGAAGGCCAAACAGGTGCAGTAGAGTTCCTCTCAGAGGACCAAGAACTGCAGCCCCTTCTCTTTGGACTCTTCCTCTCTGTGTACCTGGTCACGGTGCTTGGGAACCTGACAACAGCTTCATCCTAGCCAACAGCTCTGACCCCCACCTCCACACCCCCAAGTACTTATTCCTCTCCATCCTGTCCTTCACTGACATCTGTTTCATCTCCACCACGGTCCCCCAAGATGCTGGTGAACATCCAGAGACAGAGCAAGACCACCAGTTACATGAGCATTTAAGCCCCCGCACAATGCCAAAGATGCTGGGAACACCCAAGCACAGGGTCTAAGCAACACATAAGCATGATTTCTCTCCCAGTCAGGCTTTGTCTTGATTTCAACTGCCTTAGAAAATGTTCTCCTTGCAGTCATGTCTACATGGTGATGACTACATAGCCATCAGTCACCCCTTGGGTACACAGTTACCATGAACCCCTGCCTGTCTGAGTCCTGCTGGTTCTGGCCTTTGTTGGCCAGCATTGCAGACAGCCTGATGTGTCAGATGGGGCTGTGACTGCCCTTTGAACAGACCTGGAGATGCCCTTTTCTGCAAACTCACCCAGATCGGATCATCAAGCCCATCTATCCAGTGCCCTCATCCAAACATCCTGATTCGTCCATGAGAGGAGAAATAGGCAATGCACAAGGAAAACAAGCATGACGGTCATGACATGAGACATCTGGATGTTCTGTCAGGAGAGATGGACTTATCACCACAACAGCTGGGTGCTGCTAGCAGAAAGCCCTTCCTCTTACACCCCTCTGGGAATGCCTCCATAGCAGAGATTGACTGCGCCGGGCACCGTGGCACACCTGAAATCCCAGACCCTTGGGAGGTTGAGGCTGGAGGATCAGGAGATCCTGAGCAACTTAGCAAAACCCTATTTTGCTAAAACAAAAAAGGGCTAGGGATGTGGCTCAGTTGTTAAGTGCCCCTAGGTTCAATCCCTAGCACCAATAAATTAATTAATTAATTAATTTTATAAAATAAAAGAGATTGCAACCAAGATTACTTCCCCTTCCCAAATTGCATCCATGGTAATATTGTGCAGTTTAAGGACCTGACTCACTTGCCCTAATTTGGGACAAATCTGAAGGTTCATCTCCATTTTCTATCCCCTGGCAGGTCAGAGGACACTTATTGGGAGATGCTGGTTATCCCAGCACAATTTATCCCTCAGCCTAGTCAATTTTCAATCACTTCTCTTCTACAGGGTCTCATCCCAGTTACACATCCTAATAACCTGTCAGTATAAAACTTTGTTTCTGTTTTATTCTTGGTAGCCAACCTGTTTTCATATGAAAATCACATTCTTTTCAGTGCTGAGAGATGCTATGGATTATATGTGTTAGGAAATATGATGATGTGAAAGTTATTCTAATTTTAAACAGGATGACAATGAGATGCTTCACTGAAAAGATGATGTTTGATAAAAGACCTTCTGTAGTCAAGAGCACATGATGTAGTTATGTAGAGATAGAACCAACCTCGCATTCCTTGATAGAAAAACAAATGAAAAATGGTCGCACTCTCTATCTTTGCCAGACTCCTATTTCTAATATTCTGCCAGAAAATCTGCAGTCAGAGTACATTTGGGTTTCCCTTTTGTGTATTAAACTTGTCTATATATGACATTCAAATTGAGGATAATATAGAGCATATTCCTTACCCATATTTTCTGAAATTGCCCTTTAATTGAAATCAGTTCTCCTGAATATTGGGAAGAACATCTGTATAAAATTTTGTGAGGCTGGTGATGTTCCATGGAGAGTTGTATTATTGATAAACGTTAAATTATTTTTTGTTCCCAGGACAAATTGCTTTCTGTATTTTATTGAGAGAAATGTGTGCACTTAATTAAATCCAATACTCCCATCTTGCATTGAACTCACTCATTCTAAGACATAGTTCTAGAAATCCCTTCATCTCTCTTCTGCATCATATTTTTCTGATTTGATGAGATCATGTATAGTAGCATCCAATGTATATGAGTTTCTCTTAAAAATTAAACCAAAGTTTATTGAAGACCTATTACAGTTTTTTTTACTCTTTCTCCTTTTAAAATTAATAGAGTTGAGACATTGAAGAAAACCATCACAATCTCTCTCTTCACAAATTGCAAAAAAATATATCCAGTGAATTATAAGTTCACATGAAAAGAGGTTAAATGTAAAGTAACTTGATAAACATATGATCATAGAGAAATCCCCAAATATGAAAGTTTTTTTTTTTAAATAAACACCAATGTAGAACACCAACTCCATTAAGCGATGGTTGAAATCCAACCCGATGAGCTAAATATATGGACACACTACCTTGGGAAGATTTTGTAATCTGAAATTGATAGGGTGAAAGCTAAAAATTAATGGACCAGCAGGTGCAGCATCACCTGGGAATAGGTTAGGACCACCTGGTAGACTCCTTAAGAACCATAAGTTTAACTATCCTCTCTGTATGTGGAGAAAACTATTGTGATAAAATTGAAGCAGGTGTTCATTAAATTCTAAATGAAGAGTCATGGTCCTGTCTGTAATTTTGGCCATTAGCAGTGATCCTAGAAAATAGATTATAATCCTCTGTGTTCAATATGAAAGCAAAAATTAACATCAATGATAGCTAAGAAGAGCCATCCCTGAGGGTCTGTATTTTATAATATTTAGATAACAGTTAGAATGACACCATTTAGACCCACATATATAAGACATATCATGATACCTAAAATAAGAACCAGGCTTGATGGTTTAGTTTGTAAGTCAAAAGGAACATTGGAATGTATAATAAGTGGTGTGTGTTACATGTTCAAGGACTCAGAAATGAAGATGGGCAGGAAAAATGGGGAGAACTGAATGGGAACATCTGGCCTGTCCCAAACTCCTCGCCTCCATTCTTGGTCTTTAAGGACATGCTCTCCTGAGATTAGAATACTAGTGATATAACTGGTCTAATGAGGAGCTTTGGATATTGAGCCCCAGGGACACAGAGACTAGAGCCTGTGACCACTCCCCACAAAAGTCCTTCCCAATCTGGGAAGCAGCACCTGAGCCTCCTCCCAGAGATGAGCCTTCCTGATAAGGATCTCATCCACTCATTAATCAGTCTGTATTTCCTGAGGACACATCTTATATCTGCAACATTCAGGTAAGATGGGCTGTGGATGTGGCTCAGTGGTAGAGCACTTAAACCCTTGTGAGCCCTGAGTTCCATCCCCAGCACCACAGAAAACATTAAGTAAGATGTTCAACACCACCCCTCTTCCACCCAAACAGGGAACACACAGCCTTAATCAAGCTTTGGAAAGCAGAGCAGATGTTTTCCTGGGGAAGCAGGGAGGAGAGGACACCCTGATGATGAGAAGCCAGTCTCCCTAGCCCACTCCTCTCAACTGTCGTCTTCTGGACAAATTCCCCGACGTGTGAACTGATACCCACCCAGTTCTCTATGTTGCAGTCTCCTACTTTCCTCAAGGAGACGTCACTTTTGCTACACAGCATAAATCTGCTGCTTCTTAAACATAATGACCTACAAAATATTCTGAAATGTGTTTGTGTTCTTGTGCGTGTTGAGCAGGGATTGTGGTGAGTATATTAGTTGGTAGGAGTATCGTAACCAATTACCTTGGACTGGGTGTCTTAATAGAAATTCCCATACTAATAGTATTAAAAATCTAAAGATTAAGGAGTCTACCAGGTGGTCCTAACCTATTCCCAGGTGATGCTGCACCTGCTGGTCCATTAATTTTTAGCTTTCACCCTATCAATTTCATATGATTTGTCAACAACATGGAAACTAGAAACCACACAGCTGTTTTAGAATTCCTTCTCCTGGGACTGACAGAGGACCCGGCCCTGCAGCCCCTCATCTTCAGCCTGTTCCTGTCCATGTACCTGGTCACCATCCTGGGGAACCTGCTCATCATCCTGACCATCAGCTCAGACTCCCACCTCCACACCCCCATGTACTTCTTCCTCTGTAATCTGTCCTTGAATGACATCTGCTTAAGCACAAGCATGATTCCAAAGATGCTGGTGAACATCCCGACACAGAATCAGAGCATCTCTTATGCAGAATGCATCTCGCAGCTCTACTTTGTCTTGGTTTTTAGTCTCTTAGAAAATTTTCTCCTTGCAGTGATGGCCTATGACCGCTATGTGGCCATTTGCCACCCCCTGAGCTACATGGTCATCATGAACCCCTGCCTCTGTGTTGTGCTTGTCCAGGTCTCTCTGATCATCAGCATTGGGGATGGCCTGCTGCACAGTCTGATGGTGCTGCGACTGTCCTTCTGCACAGACCTGGGGATCCCCGACTTCTTCTGTGAACTTGCTCAGCTCATCAAGCTGGCCTGTTCTGACACCCTTATTCACAACATCCTGGTATATTTGGCAGCTTGCATATTTGTTGGTATTCCTTTCTCTGGAATAATTTTTTCTTACATTCACATTGTGTCCTCTGTCTTAAAAATGTCATCATCAGGAGGAAAGCACAAAGCCTTTTCCACCTGTGGGTCTCACCTGTCTATTGTTTTCTTGTTTTATGGGACATCTTTTGGGGTGTATATTACCTCTGTATTTAGTGACTCCCCCAGAAAGACTGCAGTGGCTTCAGTGATGTACACTGTGGTCCCTCCAATGCTGAACCCCTTTATCTACAGCCTGAGGAACAGGGACATGAAGGGGGCCTTGAGGAAACTCACTGGCAGGATATTGGCTCATCTATAATGAGTCATTTGCTTTGCATTAGGATTTCTCCACTAAGTCAAAATGACAGGATTACTAAATGTTTAGTCCATTATGATCACAGAGAATGTATTAGAAAAGTCTGCCTATAATATTCAAAAACAAATTCAAATTTCACTGAGCAATAAATAGAATGAATCCTATAAGGTTGCATTATTATGGTACTCTCTGTGCATTATCACTTGTATTTAAGAGTAGCTCTTTGTCCAAGCGGCCACCTTTATTTATACCAATAGGTTACATTAGGTTATTAGTACCACAACCACATTATTGTTTAGAGTATATCAGGAAGGCTGCTTATTCTGCAGTTACTTTTCATAGTTACAATATGCAGTGTCAGGAGCTTTGTGCAGCTCTCAAGAAGGTCCACTGTTAGTTGGGCAGCTCCCGGAGCACCGGAGCTTGGGGAAACCTTGTAGTTATCTAGCAAGCAAGTTCCTCTATCCCAGGAGTTATGTGCCTAAGGTTAAGGTTGATGCTGATAAGACTCTAGCATTGCCATAGCAACCAGGTAACCTATGCCTTTGCATAGAAACTTTCTCAGGCACACCAAACATGCCACAGCCATGAAGTCATCAGGGATCCCGCTCCCAAACACAGAACCCCTACAATAGTTTTCACCTGATGACTTAATTAGGTTGAAGTGAATTTCCTCCTTAGACTTAATACTAATGGGAGGTAAAGGGATTACATAACGCAATTACTGAAACAAGTTACTGGCAGCAAATATCTTTCTCGGGTAGTAATAGCATCTACCATCTCCATTTTAATTTCTATAATTAAAATGGCTTAATTCCATATTACTGTTTTGAAATGATTGCGAGATCTTTTAAACTCATCAAGGGAGATGCCCTCATTCCTAATAAGAAGTAAAATCCAATGACAATAAACTGAAACAACAAAGAGAGTTATCGTTCACATCAAGGACGTGTGAGCAGAGAATCTACAGGGACAGAGAGCAGGGCTTCCTTCAGTCCTCCCCAACGTGAGCTCATCCCAGGGCTGGTTCTCCCTCAGAAACCCAGGAGTAGGAATAAGTTGAGGTGTTGCATTTGGGCATGATGCCTGAGATGGAATGCTGAGGGTCCTCCCCTTGGTCCTTTTTTCTGTGAACCTACCAAATTGCATCTCTGTAGTGGACTGAATGGTCGCCCTCTAAATGCACCCAGATCCTGTCCCAATAACTTGTGCTTATCTTATGTGATAAAGGTGTGAATGTTACTCATATGATAATGGGGGAAAGAGGATTTGCAGAAGAGAAATGTATCCTGGTTCACCTGGGTGGCCTTCAGTGTAATGATGTCTCTTTACAAGATAAAAGTGGAGAAGACACAGAGAAAAGTGGGACGCATTGTATCCATGGAGACGGAATCTGTATTGAGCCAGCCAGTACTGACCTCCAGTATTCAATTATTTTTTTAAGTGCACCATTGTGATTTCCACTCTAGGGCATTTTTATCACCCTTGCAAATATTCCTATACTTTTCATTTCATAAATTTGTTTCATTTTGACCTTGCCTTTTCTGAGAATGTACCACAGAAAAATTGCTGAAACTAGAAACTCTGCCTTAGGGTCTGCTTCTGTGGAACACAGGCAGAGAGAATACGTTTAGAGAATAGAAATCATGTGCCAATGTCCACCGCTGGTAATGAATAGATTAATCACGTGTCACATTCTTCTCGTCATTGAGCTTCTCCATCAATCCTGCTGTTGTCCATTTAGCAGTTATCCATCTATTTTCAGTGCTCTATGTTTGAGTTGTGTATTGAGACCTTGAAGGTCAGGGGCATTTTTTTGATGTGGACATAATTTGGGTATCTGTTTTTCTTATGTTGTGATCAAAGCTGTGTGAATATTCTCCTCTGTGTCTTCTGGAGGAAATAAATGTATTTTGACATACATCGTGAAATTACGAGCTATTGCATAGTAACTTTTGGGTTGGATGAAGAATATTTCTAAATGGTATAGTGAATTTAAGTTCTAATTAGATGTTCCTTGTGTTTTACATCACGTGCAGAATATTTTATTTACCTCGACAATCTAATGGATGTAAAACATTAATTAATTTACATTTCTTACTATGACATTGAGAGTCTTCTCACATATTATGAGCCATTTGTTTTCTTCCCTTGTTAAATAAATGTTTATGATATTTCCATTGAACTGCCTGTCGTTTTCTTTTCCAAATAGACAAATTATTTATGCATGTGGAATAGCGATTCTTTGTAGTTTGTAATAGTAAAATTTTATTTTGGGCGAGTGTGCCTCCTTTGCCATGGGCTTTATACTATATCATGGATGTCCCAAAGTGCTTGGTTTTAGCAGGTTTTAATTTGTCAGTATTTTCTCTCTTGGTCTGTACACAGCAAGTCTTGACATTGAAATGACTAATCACCTCAATAAATAAATTATTCTCTTTCCTTTTGCAATTGAGGCTGAAACCACCTGAAATTTATTTGTCTTTGATAAGAGTAAAGATATCCAAATTCATTTTTATTTTAGCGTGATTTATGAAATAGTCCATCCATTCACTGTAATGCCAATTTGGCAATAAAGAAGCCATTCATTCATGAGTTAGTGTTTTCCTGGACTCTCTTTTTTTGAATAATAAGATGACTATGCATTCTTGCAACAATATCTCTTGTCTTACTGATCTCAACACATCAATCAATTATATCTAGTTCATTGTGGTAAAAAACAAGCCCTCAAGTTTCTTACATACAATCATAAAATGGCTTTGTATCACAAATTAAGTTCTTTTCTGAGAGTTTGGAATTTTCTGTAAAAATGCGGATAAACAAGACACAGTTTTACTCTGTGACTGTGTGTGTGTGTGTGTGTGTACGCGAACCAGCACATACATGCACCAATACTATGAAATTTGGAAAACTTGGTAGTAAAATTCTAAAAAGGAAGCAAAATATTGATTAAATGCTTAGTCCATTATGATTAGAAAAGTCTGCCTATAATATTCAAAAACAAATTAAAATTTCACTGAGCAATAAATAGAATGAGCCTGATGGGGTTGCATTATTATGATACTCTCTGTGCATTACCACTTGTATTTATATGTTGATACCTTCATGCATGTCTTATTTTGAGTTGAATTGCAATGTCATATTTCCTGATTTCACCTGTGAGTATAGTTGTGACTCTAAAGATACCTTGAAAGAAAAGCAGAAGCTAGTACAGAAGGAAGGGTGCCCATATGTCAGTGGTGCTTTGATGAACATGAGCAGAGACATTTCTCACAAGAAGAAATGCAAGTGTCCAACAAATACATGAAGAAATGTTCATCTCCTGAGGGCAATCAGGAAGATGCCAATCCAAACTATACCAAGACTTCATCTCACTCCAGTTCTGGTGGCAAGTATCAAAATACAAATAATAATAAGTGCTGAAGATGTGGGAGAAAGGTTCTCTTACATGTTGTTGGTGGGACTGCAAATCACTACAACCACTCTGAAAAATGGTATGGAGATTCCTCAAAAGACAAGGAATGAACCACCACAGGACCCAGCTATCCCACTCCTTGGTATTCATCCTAAAGAACTAAAATCAGCATACTACAGTGATATATGCATACCAATGTTTATAGCAACGCGATTCACAGTAGCCAGTTTATGAAACCAGCCTAGGTGTCCCTCAAAAGATGGTTAGATAAAGAAATGGAGTCTTACTCAGCCATAAAGAAGAATGGAATTATGTCATTCACTGGTAAATGGATGGAGCTGGAGAGCATCATGCTGAGTGAAACAGGCTGGTCTCAGAAACACAAAAATGTTTCTTTCATATGCTGACACCTGAGCAAACCAAGGGGAAAAGAGAAGGAAACCCATGAAAAGAAGAGATATCAGTGGGGCTGAGGAAGGGGGTGGAGGAGGAGGAAGGAGGGATGGGGAAAGGGAAGAAGTGGGAAATGAAATGGACCAAATTATACTATGTACATGTATGATTATACCATAGTGAACTGCACTTTGATGTGTATCTATAAAGCACAAATTTAAGAAGCCATAAGTAAGTAGAAGGAAGACCAGTGGAGCAGTGGAAGGGGAAGAGAAGGAGGAAGGAGGGAAGGGAAAGAGAAAGTACTGAGGCCTGAAGTGGAGCAAATTATAGTCCATGCGTTTATAATTATGTCAAAATGAACTCCAACATTATGTATAACTATGATGCATCAGTTAATCCATCAATACAATGAGGCTTTGACCTGATTTCTTAACTGGCAGGGTCATAGTTGCCTCATCCTCACCAATGGGGTCTCTGATCCTGAATTCAGTTAACCGAGTTTGGATATTTGAAGATATGAAGAACACCATATCATAAATCCATCCACCAAGTCAATAGCAAGCTTGGTTATGTTCTTCCTTGGAGATTTTTCTGCAACCCTAAGGTGGTCTACGTCCACAGCCATGGGTTTAGGCAATGCCTGACTCTTGGGTTAGCCCATACTTCTGGAACAAAGAAAGCTCTACCTCTGCCCTTAGCAACTAGTCCCCTGGAACACTGAGGTTTCAATATCTAGAAAGAAGAAATATTTCTTGTTTATGGGGAAACATCCATGGCCCCTTTTACTTCTATTCTTGACAAATTGTGTCAAGTTCTTTATTGGTACCTGTAAAACATTATCCTCTTTTAATATTTGCTGTTCTCTTTGTGCGGTGCATAGAAAAAAATGACCTTTTTAAATTCCATCGATGTCTTTGTTCATTTTAACTATGACTCATTGGTGTAAATATTGATGGGGTTAAGACGGTAAAGAAAGATATCACAATGCACAGGATACATTGGCGCACTCCTGTAATCCCAAAGACTCAGGAGGCTGAGGCAGGAGGACCACAAGTTCCAGACCAGCCTCAGCAATTTAGTAAGGCCCTAAGCAACGTAGTGAGACCCCATCTGCAAATTAAAAAAATAAAAAGGGCAGGGGATGTGGCTCAGTGATTGAATGCCCCTAGGTTCAACACCTAGTACCAAAAAT